TTTTTATGTTTCAGCAATTAAACGTAATATATATTTGTTATTCAAATGTGCATAACTCACTCAATTTAAGTTGTTTTGACCGGAAACTTCTTCCTACATGCAGTTTGGGTTTTATAGATAAGTTTAGACTATTAAAATGCTTGATTTGGTTAAACAATGAATGAGTTATAGGCCCAGCAAGGAAGTATGTCAAATCATATTTTTTTTATTTTTTTATTTTATGTTTCAACAATTAGACGTAATCTGACTTTGTTGTTCAAATGTGCACAACTCACTGAATTTAAGTTGTTTTGACCTGAATCTTTTTCCTAGATCTAGTTTAGGTTTTTTAGTTAAGTCTAGACTATAAAAACACTTGGTTTGATTAAAAATTGAATGAGTTACATGTATTAGAATATAACATACAAAATATGTTTTTTGTTGCAGCAACATACATGAAACTTTGATTGTATTTTCTTTGTTCTTTTTATAAATCCAATGTTTTAGAAAAGTGTGGAAAGGATACCATCGCATCAGACTTTGAGATGATTAAAAATATGACGAAGTTCCTTGAGAAGCTTAAGAAGAAAACTGAAAAAGTTTTGTGTTCAACAAAGCCTATTTCCATACATATATCTGGGAGATCCTAGACACAGAGCAACATCTTAACAAACCATGAAACCAACCCAAATTTTTTGTTTATGGTACCGGATTTGAAAGAAAAATATGCCAAATATTGGGGTGACTATAACAATATAAGTGATTATATATTATTTGTGACATTGTTAGATCTTCAATGCAAGTCAAAGTTTATGAAATTTGTTTTTACCTAAATGTTTAAAGCCAAGAACAAAGATAACAAGATGTCCATTGATGAGATAGAATCGAAAGCACTTGCAAAGGTTATTTATATCGATGCAAATTGGACAAGTGTTTCAAGACATACTTCGAAAGGTCAAACATGACCTCATCGTCTCAACAAGAAAATCCTGAAGAAGTTGTTAATTTTGATGACCAAACGAATTCTTTGGAAGCTATATGACCTCGAGAAGTTTCCCCTCGACTTCGTCAGAAAGTCAATTGCAACGATACTTAAATGAGTTCCCAATCAGATTTGACAAAGAATATGATATCCTCACATGGTGGAAAAATAACGTGGTGTGGTTCCCGATCGTTGCTCGAATGGCAAGAGATATCAACCTTCTTTTACTCTGATTTTCATTTTAATTTTCTAAATTAATGTCGTGTATTATACACTAATTTGTTTCTTAATAAATATTTTGGGGATGCAAATTTCCACTGTAACATCCGAATCCAAATTCAGTAATAGTCATCGAGTAATTACTGACTACCATACTAATTTATCCGTTGTGATTGTGGAAGATTGATATGCACTCAAGATTGGTTAAGAAAGAGTAGCTTGCCTATATATGACTATGATGAAGTGCACGATGTGTTAGCTGACGATGACTTCGCTATTGGTAATAAACAAATACTTGTTACATCTTATTATTAGAAATTGCTACATTTTATTAAGCAATAATGTTTTTCTTTTGTATTATATATAAACATTGTGGATGCTATACATAACTTGAAGCTAACGGGGAAGAGATAGAGGAATTAGTCAAAATGTCAAATAGAAATTGGAATCCACATATTAGATTTTTTTTTTTGGGAAACTTAAAAGTATATTTTGAATGTTGAAAGTATATTTTGAATGTTAGATAGTTAATGACGGTGTAATGGTTGTTTGAAAGAGAGAACTTGACTAGTTTATGATAATATCAAACTTGTAGTTTTTTCATATATTATCCGACAAACGTTTTTTTTTTAAATGTAAATTACATTCAAAAAAATAAACAAAACCCAACTCTTTTACAAAATTACAAACAAAATCTATATACCATTTATCAAACAATTAGTGCACACAATTATGTACTAAACAAAAACTGACGAGAACCGGGTATAAACCGAAACCGTAACCGAAATATACGTTGCTATTTCTCGAATACCGATTCCAAAATCAAAGACCCAACAAAAACCGAAACCGGTAGAACCGATCCGGTTCGGTTCTTGATTTCGACCGAAGCTGGTTCCGACCGGTTCGGTTCGATTGGTCATGGTTACTTGCAAATTATCCCAACGTGTAATCTGTGAAATAGATGGGAACATGCTCCATGTAAAAGTCATTTTCCCTCCCCTTATTAACGGGATTTAATGATTTATGTACCGGATTTTTTTTTTTTTTTTTTTGAAACGGATGTACAGGATTTATTAATCAACAAGAAGGTAAAGCGAGGTCCAAAAACGCAACAATGGCGAGAGTCTTCAACAACAAACCCAGATTATTTACCGGATTTATTTACTCAAGGAGATCGGTTCTCTTCCCTTCCACATCTACAAGGTCGATCGAAACCCTAGCTTTCGAAGAGGCCCGCTCTCCCTCCCACAAACCCGTACCGGATCATTCTGCGTTTGTTCTTCATGGCTTAATGGGATCTGCCAGAAATTGGCGATCTTTCTCTCGGAATCTGGCTTCTTCCCTCTCCACCTCCTCTCCACCTTCAGGTAATTTCACATCTATCCATCAGATTTTAAAAAAAAAATCCATACTTTGACTTCGATATTAAACATGGTAAAGCTAAACTTCAATTTCACATAAGATTTAAAATTTTCAAGAAAATAAAAACTGTGAAGTATGTTATATTTAATCATATGCAAATTACAGAAGGAAACAGAGATGTCATCTGTGAGCGTGTGTGTGTTGTGTATATATCCTCTAACTAATACTAATCATCTTGAAACGTCTCCAATTTACTTGAAATGTATAGATTGGAAGATGGTTCTTTTGGATTTGAGAAATCATGGTCGATCAGCTGGTGTATCCGGTTTAAATCCACCGCATGACATACCTAGTGCTGCTAACGATGTTGCTAATCTAGTGAAATCTCAAGGCTGGAGTTGGCCCGATGTTGTTTTAGGGCATTCCATGGGTGGCAAGGTGGCCTTACAATATGCCATGAGCTGCGCCCGTGGTGATTATGGCAGTTCAGCCAAGTTGCCCAAACAGGTATTTCCATACGAAACTTTCATCTGTCACCAATTTGTATACGATTGCACAGGTCCTTGTGGTTTTCGGGTATTAACAATTAAGTCCTTTTGGTTTTATTAATTGACAATAATTCACGGATACAAAAACATGATGCAGAACAGTTGTGGGTACTGGATTCTGTTCCTGGGATAGTGAACCCTAAAGAAACCAGTGGGGAGGTGGAGAAAGTTCTAGAAACCTTGCAGGGTATATCAAAAACAATCCCATCACGCAAGTAAGCTTTTTATTTTTTTTCTACTCATTAGTTATTTGATGTTCTAGTTCATATTTACAATGTGAATGTTTTTGGGGACAGGTGGCTAGTGGATCACTTGATAAATCTAGGATTTTCAAAATCGTTGTCTGAATGGCTCGGCACCAATCTCAAAAAATCAGGTGAACATGAGACATGGGCTTTTGATCTTGATGGAATTATTCAGATGTTCGATTCATACAGGTATTTTTCTTCCACATTAATTGTATACAAGGTTAAAATAGTCAATTTGCTCTTTCAATCAAAGTTAAAACAAGCATTGATACAAGTAAGATTGAAATTTATTAACTTTCTAGGGAGATGGATTATTGGCCGCTTCTAGAACATCCGCCTAAAGGGATGGAGATAGTGATTGTGCGTGCGGAGAACAGCGACAGGTGGGACCCACATGTGACTCAGAGACTCGAAAGCCTTGACAAAAAGAGAGGCGATGAATCAGAGGGTAATGTTTCGGTTGTGGTCCTTCCAAATTCTGGACATTGGGTTCATGTGGACAATCCAAAGGGACTTTTGGAGATTGTGATACCCAAAATGGCTTCTATTGTTTAAACCCAAAGGGTTTCTATTTATGAACAATCAACAATTTCATCATATCTTTTTGTTGCATGATCTGTATTTGGTTTTAATCTAACTAAATAATTGAAATGATCAATCTGTGACAAAAGGATGAGAGGGAACAATTTATTGAAGAGACGATGTGTTTGATTTAAATGTTCAACTATTTGGTACATGGATGTTCTTATGGGATTTGAGTTCAATCATTTTTTTTTTTTTTTTTTTTTTTTTTTTTTTTTTTTTTTTTTTGAGTTAAATGTTTGCTTGGTTTTAATATAGATATACTAGTTAATAGTTATTAGTTATTGACTTATTTCAGTCATATTGGCAAAACTTGCTACAAAATCTTGGGTTGCTGCTTCAACCCTTGTTAAGAGAGATGCATGGTTTGTTGTTATCCTTTTTTTTTTTTTTTTTTTTTTTTTGGGTATAAGTAGCAAATTTTATAAATAATCAAAAAAGTATGTAACAAATATTGTGTGAAAGACATGCAACTTTCTGCCTACACTTGAAGTTGTCATTTCAATCTGAAAAAATTAATTATCCTTGTATCTTATGTTTCTATTTGCATACTTAATGATATATGTAGAATCCATTAATTCTTAATCTTAATCTATTTTTTTTTTTTTTTTTTTCAATTTTGACATTTATCTTGATTTAGTGGATAAAAATATGAATATGAACCAAAGATAGGAGAATATTTGATTTCTCTTTTATTTTATTATCTTCCAGCAACTTTCGTAATAAACATATGATTCAAAGGTTAAAGGAGTTGTCTAACATGATTATTTTGATATCTAGAGATTGATTATCAATGTATTCCATGTTTTATACTCTTTGTATAGATAAACATCATCTTTGGATGTAAAATGGTTGAGTAGTTTTAATATTTTATTGGAAACATAGCTTATGTACATGATAAAAAAGTGCTTAACTCTATATTACATAGCTAAGATATTTTGTAAAATAATCGAAGAAAATAAAAAAGATTGGGCCAGTGGGCCTAATATAGCCCAGCTCAGAACCCTAATCGCGAAAGATGAATATAAAGTATATCATGTCCCTGAACCTTCACTAGCGTCGGCGCCGAGAGATACAAAGATGCAGATCTTCGTGAAAACCCTAACCGGGAAAACCATCACCCTCGAGGTTGAGAGCAGTGACACCATCGACAATGTAAAGGCAAAGATTCAGGACAAGGAAGGTATGATGTTTGCCGATATATTTAATTTGAACTTTAGGATTGATATCTTCTTTAATTAAAGCGTGATTGAATGATTTTGTATCGTAGGTATTCCACCGGATCAGCAGAGGTTGATCTTTGCCGGAAAGCAACTTGAAGACGGCCGAACTCTTGCTGATTACAACATCCAGAAAGGTTTTACTCTTTTCTGATCATTGAAGTTAACAGTATATGTCGATTTGATGAATTAGTCCTTAATTGACAACGTATAACAAAATGACTGTTTAGAAGCATGGTATTTGTTCCTCTTTTTTGTAAATTTTATTAAAAAATCTTTTAGTATTTTATTTATCGTAAATATAGTCATTGCTTGCCTTCGTGTTAAAATCTAAGTTACATACCTTTCCATTTGATACTAGTAATGGTCTAGGATCATCTTCCCACTACACCTCTTTGTTTATATTCATTCGTTTAGGCTAAGGTGTTATAATTAGGATGCTCACTGGTCGTCACAAAGAGAATCCCTTTGAATTCTTAATTGGTTTTTTTCATTACTTGCGCTGTTGGTGGAAACAGTACACTGGAATTGCATATGAACTATCACATTTACAAATTCAGAATTTCAGATTGAATATTATTAAATTATACCACATTTAAAATGCAATCTTGAAATTGTTTTTACAGAGTCCACTCTTCATTTGGTGTTGAGGCTAAGGGGAGGAATCATTGAGCCCTCTTTGATGGCATTGGCTAGGAAATACAATCAAGACAAAACTATTTGTCGCAAGTGAGTTTTTCTTCTTTCCATTGTTTTTCAAAAACCTATATCCATTTTATATAATATTTTTTCCAATCTTTGCTTTGAGTTTTACATGGTGTTATAAAAATTACTGATAACAATGTATGGGCTTAATGGTTTCCTGTTAGGTGTTATGCTCGTCTGCACCCAAGGGCTGTGAACTGCAGGAAGAAGAAGTGTGGCCACAGCAACCAGGTATTAATTAAATAATCCCTTCATTTTTTTTCATAAATTGCTTTTTCTTTTGATGAATTTCCATGTTGATTGTACAAAATCTTCTTTTCTTTCTTCTTTGTGGTTGCAGCTAAGGCCGAAGAAGAAGATTAAGTAGACTTGTTGTGGGTGTTGGAAGAGGATCATTTTGGTTAATTCTAGAAGTCTGTTTTTTGTTTTTGCGTAATTTTCGTTATTATCATTTTAAAGTAAACTTGATGGGTTGTTTGTTTAATTCAAAGAAAGCACTATTGGTCTTTTTGCATTTTTGGTATATACCTATTGTCCTCTTTTACATGGACTTGTTTTTTTGAAATATTTTTAAGCAAGTCCATAAAAACAAGTTAATAGGATATGCTTTCTTCAGGCTTGTTTAAAAGAAATGTTGCGACCTTCAAGAAAAATGGGAAATGGTTTAGTTTGAACAATGAATGACAGTGGCAAATTCATTTGCTTCCCAAAAGACATCAACAAATATCTAGTCAAAGACTTGCGACTTTCCACTTATACGTGTAAATTAAAAAATATCTTTTAAGTAATTAATATTAATAACCTTAAAAACAATATTTTTTTAGAAATTATTTTCAATAGTAAATTATTCCAAGGGTCCCTGTCCCTATGGTTTTGGATAATCTCTTTGTTTGGTCATTACAGGTTTTTATTGTATATTGTATGATTTTGTTACATGTTTAAAAGAAGCATGTTTTTGTTCTATGTTTGGTTTTGGTTCTGTTAATTTTAAAAAAGATTATATATTTTACTTTTTATCAGTTACATGAATAGTTCTTGTGGTTTGGGTAACCTGCACCTTTGGGTTTTTTTTTTTTTTTTTTTTTTTTTTTTAATCCTTAAAACTCGGAGGATATTTGGAACGTGTTTTAGTTGCATAATTGGTCCCTACCATATATAAAAAACAATTTTGACCTTAATCGTATATTTTTTTAATATTTTTATTTATTGTTTATCATTAATAATTTATTAAACGTCAATAGGCCCACTTTATTTTTGTGAATTCGCCTTCTTCCTTCGAAACTAGACATCGATTGTATCTCCGATCATATTCTCTGGCTATAGCTTCTAGCACCGGAAACACTCCACCTATCAGAAAAATATGCAAAGAATATCCCGTTCAAAGTTCAAACATAGCCACCAAATTCAGAAAAAGCACAAAGAAATCTAATCAATAAAACCCCACAAATAGAAAATCAATAGCCATCCTTTCCCCCATGACCTCACTTGCTCATGCAAACCTTCACTCTCTGCTGCATCCCTTGTCGCCCGACACAACAAACCCCCCTTCTTACTATTTCTCACATACGCGTCGATGTAAAGAACGTCGAAAACAGAGTTCGTATGCGAAAGTTTTGAACTTCTGAAGTTCGGGGCACGAAACCCCAAAACTGTCAGCCACCACGACGTGGTAAAAGTGTCACGACGTGGCAGGAGCTCTGGAGTCTGTCAAACCCACTTGCAATGACGCATGTAGTGATGACCCAGCCACCACGAGGTGGTAAACCGTACCACGACGTCACAAGGTTAAATTTTGCCCTATAAATAGATTTGAAGGGCCAGTCGAGTTTGGGTTGCTTCAGCTCCTCTCTCTTACTCCCGATACCCTCTAAAGCCATCCCGAAGTACTCCCAAAGCCCGGTTTCATCCCGAGACCCAAAGCGAGTCCTGAAGCCTGAAGATCCCGAGAAGAAAAGAGTTTCCGAGCCGAACCTCTGCCCGCGAGGAGGCCGGTTTTTGTGAAGATCTTCCAGATCTACTGAAGAATACTACTTCTACAAGCTGTAGTTCTGTCCGATCATCTTCTGATCAAGTGAGTGTGTGGTCACTTTCTTCTAACACATAAATATTAAGTATTTGCTATGAAATACGTGCTATGTATATAATATAAATTTTTTTATACGTGTGGGTGTATAGTCCCTTTCATAAACACGAGTATGGTACAAGTATTGTTTGAATGTATTAAGTATATGTTTGGGTGAGTGAGTAGTTACTTTCTTCTAACACATAAATACAAAGTATTTGCTATGAAATACGTGATATGTGTTTATATATTATTTGTCTATTTGAGATGGGAATGGTATTGAAGTTTTATATAGGTTTTAAATAAGTTATACTTTATATGTATTTTATCTCTACAAATATGTTGGGTAGAACATTGGTAGACGAAATAGGTGGTGTGTGATGAAGGATTAGGTTGAGGATGAGATGGAAGATAAACCTCGGTAGCTATGGATTTAGTACTGTAAAGATAAGCCTCGATAGCTATGGATTAGTAATGTATATAGATGAACCTTGGTAGCTATGGATTTAGTAACGTATAGACGAATGTTGGTAGCTATGGATTTAGTACTGTTAGATAGACGATGATAGCTATGGACTTAGTACCTGTTAGATAAACGTTGGTAGCTATGGACTTAGTACCTACACTGGTAGCTATGGATTTAGTACCCGATGAATGAACCATAGCAACTATGGAATTAGTGCTTTACGAAAGAACCTTGGCAGCTATTGTCTTAGTGCCTAATAAAGAATCCTGATAGTTATTGTCTTAGTGCCTAATACGGAGTGAACGAATAGATGACTCTTAGGGTAGGCCCTTAAGAGTAAGGAAGATAATGGGATGGGTAATCAGAATGATCGTTTGATGATTGAATATATATATATATATATATATATATATATATATATATATATATATATAATATTGTGGGTTGAAAACCCTATATGCTCACCATGCTCCCAAGCCTGACCCACTCAGTTTTCTTTGCATTACAGGTAATGGCACAAGAGTATAAGTTGGTGGACTTGACGAGAGATTTTGGATTATAGATCAGTAGTTATAAATAACTGTTGTAAGGTCTATTTTATATTGTTTATGCTTTTGGTCTGTTTCAGAACATGATATCTCGGGATTTTGTTATTTAATGAAAATACATTTCTTTAAAGAAATGCTTTGATAAATTCTTATCATATTTTGTTTTGGGAACAAATTCTACAACCGTTTTCTTTAAACGAATACTCTGATTTATAAAACAAAGCATAAACAAATCAGTCTTTTCTGGCCTGAAGTTGGGGATGTCACAGAAACTCCCAAGTCCCAAAACTAAATCAACTATTCGGCCGCTAAAATACTCTTTCCCAATATCTGGAAACTCTGGTGGCCTAACTCGCCGCCATACCACCTACTCAAGCGATCACCATGATATTCGCAACTTAAATGTCAATCCTGATAACCCACTGATCCTTTGATTCTCACAAGACCGAATCCAACAATCGGATGCCGCTCACTCATAACAACATGCTAAAAGATCTGAATCACGCCCCAAGAAATGGAAGGGTCCACACCTTACTAGGGCTCATCCACTAAACCGCTATCATAACCCATTCGAACAAGAATCCTTAACACTCTGTCCTCAGACACAAGGGAAAACTATACTCTTTCAGAAGTGTCCTCAGACATCACATTCGTAAGCCCCAACTTCGTTTCTCATATCCCTTCTCAATACTGGGCACTAAGTCAACTCCTGACTCCACAATTCAACCTCCAAAGGTCACCCATAACATGTCCCGAAATGTCTCACCGACTTCCTTCTCACAATAACAATCTCGGCCCGGTGAGACACAAGTCACGAAGCTCTCTTTACCCCAACGAATACCACAATCCTACTAAATCGTTTCACCCTCGACCTCTGTCGAACACTACTCCCTAGATACATGCGCCTCGTGGTACCTTCCGTACCCGAGTGTTGACCTACATAGGTCTAAGACATCAGCTGATAGACAATACCCCTTAACTTGGGACCCATCTCAGAATCTAGAATCTCATCTCGCCTACTCAAAGCACTACTAGAGCCAAACTCAACTCTAGAGTCTGGTCCGACCCAAAATTGGAACCACTCATCCCTATGAACCACTCAACTCATGACTCATTGCCCGCAACCCATGCGTACATCACTTCCCCAATTCCTTCTGATTGTGATATCCACACCTTAACTTGGTATATGATGATTCCTGATCATTAAGGAGACCCCAATCTCGCTCCTGGTTCGACCCCCAGGTCCCTAAAACTCAATAATAAGGTTACCCAAGCCTAACACTCATCTGCATCATGCTCTGACCTGCGAATAATACGGTTCCTATAGTACCACGACACCCTCTCGCTGACTAGTGAATACTACGGCTCCCCCACGGTATCACAACACCCTCTTGCTGACTAGTGAATACTACGGCTCCTCGCAGTATCACAACACCCTCTCACTGACTAGTGAATACTACGGCTCCCCGCAGTATCACAACACCCTCTCGCTGACTAGTGAATACTACGGCTCCCCGCAGTATCACAACACCATCTCGCTGACTAGCAACGCTTTCTCTTATCATTCCACAGTCTCATACTCACGTTAACACCACACTGCATCCTCTAACTCATGCTCTGCGGACTAACATAGATAGTTATCTACAGTCATCCAAATTATGCATCATAATATCTGACAACAACCACCATAATGAAACACCTTTCTCTGCTGTAATCCACCTTTATAAATGATCCCTTTAATGTCAATACCCGAAGGGCTTCCACTGGAACCGTAGATACTTGATACACCACTTGCCGCCTCAAACTCAATACTCTAAAAATAGTTCGGAATTCAGGGCATCAAACTCGGATACCCCGGAACACCATCGAAGAACATCATGATGTCCTGCCTCAACCACCGATCCCATACTTACGGCGTCATACACGGATACCTCAATGCATTCCCTCAAGATATCATAACTATCCTTCATTTCACACAAAGCGCAACTTCGAAGTATCCCAACTCTCAATTGAAACACTGAAGAATCGAAAATGACTCGGAACATGATGACAACCAACCGAAACTCCCTCCTCTATTGCTCAAAACTCATGCAAGAATACACTGGCCGACCCTGAGGTTGGTTGTCTAATTCCACATCTGCTCTTCCCAAACTACATATAACAGCCCATACATCGGACCGAAATTTCCCAACCGCCGAACTAACCTTACAAGCCAAACCACCTCAAAGAATTTCTAACCACTACAAGTTCCCTGACCAACGGCCACCGGCCGTGGAGAGACTCATCCTTTC